AGTACCCTTTTCTCCTTGACATTGTCTTCTTACAGTCAGCATTTTATTGCCCTTTTATAGTATTAAAAAAAAAAAATGGAGGAGGAAGAAGAAAGAAAACCCACACACAAACTAATTCACCAAAATACTAGCCAGGATTTTACTTTTCCATCCCTTAAATACTCCTGCCCATGCATAGGTTTCCTTTTACATTTCCCAGTCAGAGTAAGTTGGGGGGAAAAAAAAAACTAGTTGAAAAGATGATCTCCCTTGATAAGATTGTGATCTATTGATAACCTTGATAAGCCATTTGAGCCTTTGGCCATGGGGGAGGGGCTGGGGAGAGAGCACCATGCCTGGTTTGTTTTCTGTCCGTTTCAGCGCAGATCATCTCACTGCTGAAATTAGGCCAGTGGACCGATTTTTAAAGGGGATCGAGGATGGAGAGGCATCCGTGGGGAGCTGTGCGAGGGACCAGGCTCAGGTCCCCTGCAGAAGGCCAAGGGATGAGCTTGGGGATATTTCAGAGGTGTGAAAAATCAGCTTCTCTCGTCTCCAGAAAATAAGAGAGGCTGTCTTCTTTTTAACCTTTGTAATTCCCTTTCTATTCTCTGTGACATTCATTCAGCTGCCAAGAGCGTTTGGCAAGGTTTGGGCCAGCGAGCACACTTGCAGTGACCACTAACCTTGGTATGTCCTGACACTTATGATGAGTGTCTGCAGGACACAGAAGGCAGGCAGCCTGCTCTGTCAGGCTTTTATTATGTACTGCAGAGGCTAGGGACAGTCAGTTTAATAAAACAAATCATCCTTGAAGGTAAAGCAACTGGGAAGAGGAGGAGGAAGACAGGGGGAAAATGTGTCTTTGCCACTCACTCTGAGAAAGGAAAAAAACAAAACAAAACAACCACCACCACCCAGCAAAACAGCCGTTCACCCAACATACCGTGCGTGCGCGTGAGTGCGTGGGCCTGGGTGCGTGTGTGCGCGCACGCGCAACCCGGGCACAGCTGGAGCAGGTTGGAAAACATCCTCCCGATTTCCCCATTTCATCAAAGCCCATAAGGCCCTTGTTTGCTCTGAGGAGACTCAAGTACAAACAATTGTGATGAAATTGGTAGATGCTGGTAGCCAGCCCCCTTCAAATTTTTAAGTGCCTTCAAGTACCTCCTCGCAATTATATTCTCCTCCAAATATCAAGGCAAGGAGAGGCAAGACCATTTGGGGTGAGGTTCCTATATTGGGATGCCTTTGTATCAGGCAAACTTTCCATTCTCCTCTCCTGAAGAACACTCGGCACCAGCAGCTCTCACAATAGCCTCGGAGTTGCAGCCAGAGTCTTTGGAAGCCTTTTGTTTTTCCCCTGTGGCATGTCCAAAGGCATGGCCTTCCCTCCCCCCTCCCAGCAGCCTGCATTGTCTTGCATTCCAGGGGCTTGATTGACTGTTACCACCTGATGCTGAGGAGAGACTCTGGGGTTCATTCTGCAGATTGTTGGGTTCTATTAAAAGAAACCTAGATAAGGGATTACTTGTCACTAAGGGATTTTCTGCAGATGTTTGTTAGTGATTGGAAATCCATTAGGTGTGAAGAGGTACAGAAAAATATGGCAACATCATTCTCCTAAGCCCGAATTCTAAGATAGTCGCCCCCCCCCCAAGTCAGAAAGGACCCCCCTCTTACTCTGTTAAATGGAGCTGGGGAAAGTTTTGAAGCAGAAAGGTAAAGGTCTCTTCTCTCATGGGTGGTATTTCTACCTGTGGATGGAACTCCTTGACCACTCTCTCAAAAGATCAGTTGTTACTCATCAGTTTACCTCTCTGGAGCCACCAAAAAAGATTCATTGCTCTAGTATTAGAGGATTTCTCATTATCAACTGCTTTAAACCAGCCCAATCCGTTGTAGGAGTTATTGCTTCAAAGTAAGCACTAAATTAGCAAACCATTCCATTTGTTCCAAAAGTATTCATCCCTTCTCAAACATAAACTAATAACCCAAGTCTCCCCCTGGGAATCCTTTGTACCATTCACATTTATTTTGAAGTTACCAGCTCTTCGTGATTTTTCTCAGTCACAGATCCACAGCTTGTCAAGGTTTTGATGCCTCATCTAAATAGAAGTTACTGAAAAGGCATTAAGCAGGAGCCAGCATGGTTTAATGATAAGACACCTGGACATGTTATTTCACATGAGTCTCCTCTCATAATTTAGTCATCTTGTAGAGTCTCGTTTCTTTGTCTAGAAAATGAGTTTTGAGATCTAGTCCAACTCTTTAAATGCTATCTTTCTTCATTGTTATTTTAAAACTTCTTTTTTTTTTAAATATTGAGGGAGAAGGTAAGTGTGACTCTAGAGTAATATGGATTAAAGTAGAAGGCAAGTTCTCAATATGAAAGACTAAGCATTATGGGGGAGACAAACAATAGAAACCATGGCTCTTTATCTAAAGACATCTTGCGATAAATTCATTACTTAAACAACACAAGGCGTAAATACAAAAGATGGGAGAGGACAGCCCAAGATGGCTACCAAAAGAAATGAATGTTTCAAACAAGATAAAAACCCACTAAAAACCATTAACAAGCATGGCGGATGATAACGATAGGGTGGAATCCACGTGCTCCCCCAGAGAAGTTCCTTCGATTTGTTCTCAGGCAAACCCTAGAACTACGCTTCCCTCCCTCCTGTAGTGCTGATGCTGTTCTAGATGTATCTCTGTCCTCTGACGGTCTCCAGCAATACCTCTTGGCCCCCGGTGCCCCAGCCCTCCTGTGGGGCCCTTGGTGTGGAGGGGCTTCTGGCCTTCTCTGACTTCATCTGTAAAGGACATACCCACTGTCCTTTACAGCTCTCATGCTATGCTGAGTCTCCCAAGTGTTGGAGGAACATAGATCTTTGTCATGCCTCTGTTGCCAATGGCCGGGAAAACCACGCTTCTTGAAATGTTTATTTTAATAAATGCCTATGATTATGTTTCTGTAGCATTTGGCTAACAGCTCCCAAACCAAGTAGTTAGAGTGTGTAGTTGTACTGCCTCACCGTTCTCCAGCCAAATTCCCTCCCTCAGAAATGCCCATCTGATAAAATGTGAAGGATTATCTTTGAGGGAAGAGAGGAGAGTACTCCAAAAGGCTGCCTAATGACCTTTTATTTAGTGCGAGGTGAGTTGGAGAGCTAATCTCTCCTCCAGGCTCTTCCTGTTCCACAAATACAAATGTATCTTCGGGGGTTTGGGGGAGAAATCGCCAACGTTCTCTAGAAAATCCAGATGAATTCTCATCGGGTAATGGCCATTGGGGTGTATGAGTTTGCCCATCCATGGAGCACAGGGCGGTATTTGGATGATCTGGGGGGAGCTATGTCCTGAGAAACTGGCCAGTGTGTATGTCTTTGGAAGGGGATACTCAAAATTTTCACTTTTTCTAGACTCCGATAGACCCCAGATGGGGTCCCTTCTTTTTCTGGGGAATTACTAGTTTTCTTTACAGAAGACGAGTGACTGACCACTGGAAGGAGTGAACTTCTTTGTCCAATTTTAAATGTATCAAACGGGGATGCCTGGTGATCATTTTCGTTATCTTTAATAGTTACTCTCATTTTAAAATGGTCTATTGTACAAATTGAGAAAAGGTGGGGAGGAAGAGATCATATATGTTCAACATGACACTACCTCCCTTGGACTTTGGTTAAGAGGCATACGTGAACTGAGATGAAAATCTTTCACTTCTTACGTATGTGTGGACAGACTTGTCCACACATACAACTACAGTGCATTTACTTCCTCATATATCTGCTCTTGCTATTAAATAAAACATTACTAACGTATAAGTACCCCCACTAAAAGAAATCTACTGAGTGTCAGTGTGTACTTGGAAAATTATGAGTTCACCAAATGGTTCTGCAAATCCTTTATCTTGGTGTGGATGCTTTACCTTGAGTAACTGACAAAGAATACTAAGTACATCAATAGCTACCGTTTTCTTGGACAAGAGGTCAGACTATTAAATAAACAATTAAGAACACGGGCACACACACCCATGCACATTTCTACTAAGTTACTCTGGAAGAAAAGGATAAACAAATAGGGGTTCTGAAAAGAACATTTGGAGAATGTTTATCTTAGAGTATAAGGGCTTTGAAAAATTACCTTGATCTCTCTGAGCCTCAGTTTTCTCCACTGTAAAAAAAGAGGATAATGACACCTTATAGAGATGTTGGGAGAATTGAATGGCATCATTCACACTCAGTACACAACACAGCGCCTGACACGTAATGAGCACCCCAAAAATGTTAGCTTTCGTTACTATTATCAGCTGCATAAATCACTGTTGTGGGACAATTCTAATCTCAAAGTAAAGTACTTTCTGATGTAGAATTTTAGGAGTCACTAAAACTTTGTATTTGGAGATTCAGCGTTAGTGTCATTATCTCATTCCTTTCTGTATGCAGAGTACTTTGTGATGTATATTGCTCTCATATCCAATTCAGCAGGTGAGTCAATAACCCTCCACTTATGCAGGAAACAAATTCTAGGTTTTCTTCCTTTGCGGGGGGGGGGGGGGGGGGGTTCGTTTCTATCAAAGGCCAATTATTTCTTACCCTGCTTTTGGGAACACGTTTTGTTTTCACAATGGGAATCAAAGAGAAATAGGATTGAAGTTCTGAAAGATTAGCTGGAAACTTGCACCTGGAATACACCTGTTTACGAAGTGGGGAATCCCAACAGTGCGTGTCCCCTTTTCTCACCCAGATATTCAGAAGGGGACCCTAGTTTTTCAGTATGTCTGCGTGGATCTTTTGCACGAGTCCCTTTCTAAAACTTCGCAAAGCTGTCAACCCCACATTACAATGCTACTATATATAACAAATTTACATAAGAGAATAGAGGCCGGCCATTTTTAGCAAATGCAGGTGCCGTGTAAGCCCCTTCCTGAAAGAAAGAACTTAGCTCAGTTTCCTTTGAAGAACTGGAGACTTGAAACTGAAAACTTTATTAATGCCATTGTCTCCTTGTATCAGCAGGTTCCAGAGAGATTCCTGGAAGTTGCGCAGATCACATTACGAGAGTTTTTCAATGCCATTATCGCAGGCAAAGATGTTGATCCTTCCTGGAAGAAGGCCATATACAAGGTCATCTGCAAGCTGGATAGTGAAGTCCCCGAGATTTTCAAATCCCCGAACTGCCTACAAGAGCTGCTTCATGAGTAGAAATTTCAACAACTCTTTTCGAATGTATGAATAGTAGCAGTCCCCTTTGGATGTCCACGTTGTACGTGTCTAGATTTTGATTTCATATATATGTGTATGGGAGGCATGGATGTGTTATGAAATCAGCTGGTAATTCCCCCTTATCATCTTTCGCTCATTTCCTTTCGTTTTCCATTGCAAGGGGATGGTTATTTTTCCTTCTGTCTTTAGTTTACTTTTGCCCAAAGCCCTTAACATTTGGAGACTTAAAAATAGGGTTAATTTTCAGGGAAAAAGAATGTTGATGTGTGTAAAATCTATATTAGCAAGGAAAGGCATTTCAAAGGTGCCTCTGCTCGATTGATGGTTTATCACAAATGGCAGTTGGTGGAGGGAGGCCCGTGACACAGGACCGCTCTCCAAACGGTGGGGTGTCTCTTGTTTTTACTGCTAAGAAGGCCAGAAAACTCAACGAGACCACTACATAAACTTAAATATTTTGTTTGGTTGGAACTCCATACGTAGCTTTTTATCACACGTTGAAAAACAATGCCAGCGGCAGGTAAACAGCTCACTTTTCAAAAGTTACCCCGAAAGGCCAAATTTCAAAAAGGAAAATAATCACTATCAAGCTTTTCCAAGGAAAAGCGGCAAAGAGCCCAAGCTAGGGCCAGTTTCTTACGGAGGCAAAGCAGTTTTACACAAAACTGACTCTTTCATAATGAGACTAGGAATTTGTACACGGTGTTCAAATTACCTCTCTAAATTTTACAGCAGGCTCTTCATCATCAGCGAGTATATATCATTCTTCATAGAGAAAAAAAACCCTAGAGCATCATTTTCTATTGTCTCACTTCAGATATTAAGAGGCGCATACGTTTCAAATGTACTCTTTGCTCAACTTCGTTGATGTGCTTCGAAGGATTATAATTTCTGCTGAATATTTGACACGCTTTTCAAGAAAACACTATTTTCTGAATACCTTTCTATAGCAAGGAATAAAGGACATCCCAAGTTGACCCGTACAATTCCTGCCTGCATTAGAACCTCGTTGGCTGACTTGATCTTCACCTCTGGAGAGGAGCACGTGTGAGAATGACCCATTTTCATATACAATTCCACAGTACCCTGATGGATCTTCAGAGCGGTGACAGTCTAATTAAGTGTTTCTTCATTTTAGGTACAACATTTTAAAGCAACTGATAAAGTCTCTTCTAATTCAGAAGCTAGTACTGACCAAAATGTGCGAACAGTGTATGGATGGCATAGGAAGGTTTGGGGTTAACCCAAAAGACACAATTTCAGCATACATAAGAAAGCTAGCTGCTATTTTATGCTTTCTTCAATGGTTCTCCTCTTTTTCCTTTTTCAGTTTTTTTCCAGTTTTTCAAAGGTGTACAGTGTCCCATGCTTGCTTTTAAAAAGTCGTATGGCATTCACGCTTGTTTTTTCAGATGGGTTTTGTGTACAGATGCAGTAAGAATTCCTTGTTCATCCTAACAGGCTTTTCTAAGCCCCCCTCCCCGCCCCCCCTCCGTAAGTCATTTGATACGCACTTAAAATGACACAGGAACAAACCTGGTATTTAGATTATAGAGAACACAAATACCATTTTTCCTTAATTTTTATAAAAACCACCTTTGACTTTGGAGAAATGCAGGTTGGCCCATGTGACTAACTAGCTGACCCAATCGCCGCAATTTAACATCATTTATAAATTCTGCTGATGGACAGGAATGTATGGAGGCAATTATTGTCAGCACAAAGCCTTAAAACCTGCTGACTTTAAATTAAACGGCACAGTCCTATGATGCCCCTGCATCATTCAGGAGGCTAACAGGCTCACACAGTGTGGACAGAGTGCAGCAAACACAGGCAGGAGCGCCCCTGGCTTCACTCTGCACCCCACAGCCAAATGCATCATCCGACTCGTGTCCCCCTACATAACGCACACAGAGCCATCAGATCCAATTTGTTCTTGTTCCGGCTTTGCCTGGGGGTGGAAAAAAAAAACGTGTTCGGATAATCATTACATTGGAATAAAATGCAAACCAAAAAAAAAAAAAAAAAAAAAAAAAAAAAAAAGAAAGAAAATCGAATCGGCACAAAGTAGGGAAGCAATCTCAACTTGTGGTCACACTCTTTTGCCTTCCTTCATGTGAAAGAGTATGAATTCATTGTTCACGTCATTACACACCCGGGTCTTTGCTGTTCCATGTAATTCGTATCAACATTGTGTTGCCATTCGCAAGGTAGAAGGCAAAACCATAGGGTATTCACCTATGTAGACAGATTGCGAGTATCTTCTGATCTGGGGCAAATTCGGTATTGATTCCAGACTTATTTGGATCTTTCGTATTATTTTCCCCTGCCTTTCTAATTTAAATAGACAAATTAAGCAAAAGTGTGTGTTCACAACCAATGTTGATTGTGCTTATCTATGATAACATCCGCTCAATGTTCACTGAGGCGTAGAAATTATTTCAGAGTAGAAATTGCTTGAGGATAAACTCATCTCTCTGTTCTGAAAACAGAACTCAATCACTTTTGTTTTTAGGTGGTTTTTCCTCTTTTACGATCGTAAAATCTTGTGCCTCCCAGTGCATTGGAAAGTGACAAAAGCCTGTCTCTCAAAACTCCTATTGAACAATTTTGGGGTTTTTCTTTTCTGTTTTTGTTTTTGTTTGTTTGTTTGTTTTAAATCACCATCTTTCAAATCTCAGCTCAACTCTCACCAAGTGAAAAAAAATTGGCTACTTGGGAGAAAGTTAACTTTCTACGAAGGTGGGAGGGTGAAGGATGAGGGACAGTTTACATAGGAAAAAAAGTCTAAAGTGCATGTTGAAATACCACATTTCCAGTTATTTTCTGCTAACCCGAAATTATTTTTGCATATACACTTGAGGTTATAGTCTGTGCCTAGACCTAAAATGCACCAGCGGGGGGATTTTTAAAAATCCTTCAAAAATACCAGTTTTTTCCCACAAGTACAATTGTTCTTGTGCCTTCTGTGGCTTTGGATTTCATCTTTTTTGACTTTATTTCCAATTACTACAGCTGCAATAAACACTAGATTTTTTTTCTGGCTGTTTGACATAACGTTGATAGCTATGCATATTTTGTGTCTTTTTAAAACAAAGCGGGAGAATACGTTTTTGAAGAAGAGAATTTTTAGAACAGTTTGATACCGCAAATTATTTTTTCTTCAATTGTTTGAGCAGCATCCGAGTTTTGAAAATTCTTGTAGAAGCCAATTTTTTGTAACTGTGGTGCAAATCTTGTGTTTTCTTAGCCTAATGAAAAGTAGTATAGAAGCAATATTTCATACCATGTGCTATATATGTGTGTGCGGGTGGGTAAACGTAAACACACGCACACATATACACACATGTAAAAATATACATATATATATGCGTGTGAGGTGGAAAGCTTACCTTTTCCTATCTAGATTTAAGGACCTATTTTAGACATTTGTTACGTTTTGTGAAAAGAATGTTCTATTTGCAACAACAAAACATTTAATTCTTACTGTATCTCTGGCTGTTTAAGGAGGACGTTTCGCATTAAATGGTAAAACCACTTGGAACATGGTAGGATGTAGTCATTATTTAAGGAAACGTTCACCCACATATTCCTGAAGTTTGCTTTGTGCCTCCGAGTATTATTTAATTAAAGTGTTTTATGTTTGCAGAATCTTTGTTGCTGTGCTAGGGATGTGGGTGAATATCGTTTTTAAAAATTGTAAAAAACAACAAAAAAAGCAAAACAAAAACACTAAAGCAAGAGGGGAACTTTTATAAAGCAATGTAAATATTTAACCTCATGGCTGTGGTTACGTAAGACATGAGATTTTAATAAATAACTACATTCTCACAACATCTGTTGAATTTATTAGGAACACTACAGTGACTGTATAGACAGTTGAAAGCATTCTTGAAAATCCTGCTCTCTACTTTTAAAAGATAACAGTCTCTTTCATCAGATGTCAAGGGCAAGGGTAATGCAGTTTCTGTAAATTTATGAAATTTCTTTTTATGTACATGAAAACAGTAAGTAACCCCCAACACACACACACACACACACACACACACACACACACACACACAGGTTAATACTAAGTCAGAAAGCTGAAGATGTGGGGGCTTTAAAAATAGGCTGTCCCTCAGAAGCAATCATAAATTCATCAAAGAAAAAGTGGTTTACAGACTCCCTGAAAGCTGTACATGTGAGGACAGAGCAAAATCTCTTTGCCATGTATATTATAGAATATTCATTGGTGTGAATAGTACAAATGTTTCCTTCTGGTACAAAACTCTGTGTTTGCAAATTACAAGAAGCATTGTTTTCAAAAAGCTCCCCTTAAAAGAATGTAACTGATTTATATGAGTAAGCAGTTACCGTATTGCACTTAAATGTGATGTTGAAGGAAATGCAGTTTTGTTTTCTGTCGATCTGTTGGTTGTAAACCATCTTAAAAAACTAAAGCTAAAATGTTCATATTCAGAGCTGGGATCAAAACTGGCATTTAACCTTTGCATCTTCTTATAATTATCCTTCTAAGAATATAACAGGATCTGGAAGCCTCTGGACTTTGAGTCATTCAACGGAGCCCTCTCTCAAATCGGATACCCCCTAAAATGCACAAACGTGAGCGGAAAAGGCAAACAGACTGGCCCTCTTTTGTGAAAATGCATTCATTCTGTATTTTAAAAATATTTGAATCCTCTACATGGGAGGAAAAGGCATTTTGAAATTGCATATTACCACTTCAAAATTAGAATTAGAACAACAACGTATTTGGGGTTGGTCTCAGAGCTACCTAGAAAAATCCAAGGTCATAGTTTCTCCCAATGTCGTCCCAGCCATTTTTCATATGTATATAGTATAAACCGTGACAAAACACTGCCTTTCTATTATTTAGCAATATGTTGTAAATAGCATTATTAAGCTCTTTTTTTTTTGTAATAAAGACCCTTTGATTTGAATATAGTACAATAACTGAACTGATAAAGTCAATTTTT